GGTGGGATTGCTGGGCTCTCAGGAGGACACAGTTGTGGCCGGGTGGTTAAGCCCCAGGACTTCCTGGAGGAGGAGCCAGGCCCTGAGGCCACGGCGGCTGCGGCTGTCTCCAGGCTGTGGAGGAGGCCAGCCGAGTTCAGGGGGGAGATTCCTGCGGGGGTTAAGGCCTGGCCCCAGGTGTCCTTGTGGCCCTGCTGCAGGTGTGACTTTGCTCGCAACCGGCAGTTTAAGTCGACTTTGGGTTCCAGGGGCCGTTAAATTTCTTCTCTGCCTAAACTTGCTTGAGCTGGTTTCTGACACTTGAAGCTACAAAAGCCTGATTTACCCAAGAACAGTTTGCTAGGCAAGATGCCAGTTTATTCCCGAGCAGCACAGACACACGAATCTGCTGCGTCTGACCCGAGAAACTGGACTCGCCGTTAGAAGGCGAGCAGGTGTTGGGGAGGATGGACCTGGGTGCTCCGAGCAGGGCGTCTTCTAATAACCGTGGCCTGCGGAAGCCAGGGATGGAAGGGGAGGTGGAGGTTAACTGGCCTGCGTCTCGTCTCACGGACCTGTCACTGGAGGCCTGCGAGGGGACAGCCGCGGGTCTCTGCCGCCACCGCTCAGGACAGTCAGCTCAGCGGCTCCTTTCTGCTCATCAACAAACTTCCTGCCAAGCTGGCTGGGATTTGGGTCAATGGAAACCTCCAGTCACCGGCTCAGACCAAGAATCTGTCCCACGGGGAAAAGTGACAAGATGTGGGGAGGCCAGGCAAAGCTGTGTGTCATTTGGCTTCACATTTTAAATCAGGCTCATCAGAGCCCAGGAGCTCTCACCTTTGGTTCTCAGGTAGCTGCAGGGCCATCAAAGTCCTTCCTGGGTTTATTTATACTCCCAGGCCCTGGGGACGAAACCGAACACTCAGCAGGCGTTCACTTACATAACCTCGTGTAATCCTCAGCAGCAGCCTGTGAAACAATTTTAATTGGATAAGTTTCTGGGGCTGCAGAGCCAAGCACCCCAGACAGGGTGGCTTAAAGTGACAGCTTTATTTGCCCTCCGTTCTGGAGGCCAGAAGTTTTCCAGGTTGGTCTCTGCATCCCCCTGACCTGTGTCCCCGGTTTATAGCCCTGGGAGCTCTGGGGGCAGAGGGTCCCTCCACTGCTCTCTGATGGGAGCTGCTCGCTCGAGGTCCGGCCACAGGAAAGTGGGACAGAGGGTGGCCTTCAAACCTTTGCCCTGGCTGGAGGTTCAGGGCTCACGCTCTGCCCTCCCTTGTTGGAGGACTGACACCTTCGGCTCGTGTGCAAAACGGGAGAGAAGCCATATCCCACTTCAGTCAGAGGGCCAGCAGCCGCCAGGCCTGCTTGGACCACGCAGGCCCCTCAGCGCCAGGGGGAGGGGAGGTCGTCTCTGACCAGGCTACAAGCAACGGCTCTTAAAGAAAATACATTTTATTTTTACCTTTTCCAAAATTAAAATACATCTTTTAATATCTTTAATGAAAGCGATCCTAAAGAAACAATTGTCTTAAAAGAATGCCTCTATGGAGTAATTAATTACCAATTTATGAAATTCCGTGACTCTGACATTCGTTACAGTGGGTGTCAGTGGCCCTCTAGTGGCCCCGAAGGGTAAAAGCACCAGTTTTAGGCTCAAGACCCAGGTGTTCTCTCAAGACAGCTCCTCGGTGGGGAAAGTCGGCTGAGCAACCCGATGCCCTTTGGAGACAGGACAGGAAAATGGCAAAGGACAAATGTTTCAGGCAGCAAAAGGCAAGACCCCAAACCTTCAGTGCTGGGACACAGGCACCAGAGCTCCCTCTTCTGACTTATTACTGCATGTTTGTGAGAATTATGAACAGTTTTGGTTCCATTTCTCACGCTGTCCTGTGGGATCAGCTTATTTCTTTGAGCAGCTTGTGAGCTGGACCGAGAGGCGAGGTTTGCACCAAGGATGTGAGTAATGTGCTCGTCTCAGCGCCCTGGGGAGGGTGCCCAACACACAGTAATCCAGATAAATAAAATACTTAAGAAACATTTAAAAAATAAAAGTTAATACAAAATACCATGATAAAATCTCTACATTTCAGGTAAAGATAGGATCAGCAGTACTGATTTTCCTTTCCCCTGTCTCCAGGGCGGCTGGGCAGGGCACTGTCTTCTCTGCCCCAGGTGAGTTTTGTTAGGAAAGTGTTGTGTTCCAGTGGTTAAGGGCCCAAACTCGGAAGCTGAAATACCTGAGTTTCTAGGCAGGTGATGTGACTTACCAGGTGCCTGACCCTTGACAAAGTTCATCCCTTACCTCATCACGTGACTCCTTAAAGTGGAGACTCACCCATGGCTGGGTCTGACCCAGGAAGGCAGAGAGACTCAAAGTGCAAGAGGGACTCGCCCACCCACTGGTGTTGGCTTTGAAGCTGGAGGGAGGGTCCAGGAGCCAGGAATGGGAGTGTCCCCACATGACAAACAGCAAGAAAACAGGGCCCTTGGTCCTGCAACTGCAAAGAACTGAACTGCCCGCAACCCAAATGACCAGGGAAACATCCTGCCCGAGAGCCTGAAGAAGGGATCACAGCCCTGCTGACTTGGATTTTAACCAGGTGAGACCCATGTCGGACCAATGACCCACAGAACTGTGAAATAATAATAATACATTTGGGTTACTTTAAGCCATTAAGTGTATGGTCATTTGTCAGGGCAGCCATAGAAAAGTTTCCAGATGGCAGAAGCTGGGGTGGGGTCCCCTGTGGCCTGCCGACTTCTACAGGTGTGGTAGTTAATGCCAGGTAGTGGCACTAAATTGGTGAGAGTGAGGGCGTATGCATGGGCACCAATATTGTCTGTCACAAAATGGAAACATGCACACACTTGCACTCACACATGCACACATGAAATGGGGAGGGACCTGCCAGCAACAGTCATATTCTTCACTTTGGAGACCAACTATGATTTCAAAATTCATCAGTGGGTCACAAGAATAGATTGTCTGAATCCCAGCGCTGTCTCAGCAGCAGGTGGAAAATGGGTTGTCTTATGGACACAGTCCTACATTTTTGCTGGACTGGAAGAGATTTCAAATAATCACCGTACATGTGTAGTGATGCTATATAATTTCATGTTCATTTCGTGCTTTCTGTCTTGAGATGGGGGTTAGATCTACCATCTTGCCAACGGTTTCTTCATTAAGGGGAGAGAGCACACAACCCGCCAATTCTGACCCGGGGTCACTGGGGAAGAGGGAGTGACAGACGCCTTGAGGAAAATGACCGCATCACCTTCTAGCTCATGTAAGTGACACGAGGGGACACAGCACATACTCAGTTTTAGAAAAGATTATGAGGGTGGGAGGAAGCCTGTGGACAGACACTAGGATCAGGATCAAGGATGGCAGTTGATTAAAGCAGCTCTTTAAAAAAACACAGAAATTTTAACATGCTTTCAAATTCTATCAGAGGGAAAGGAAAACAAAGCTATCTAAAAAACCTGCATGATTGCGTGGCTCAGTGGTTGAGTGTCGACCTGGGATCTAGGAGATTGGGGGTTCGGTTCCCGGTCAGGGCACATGCCCGGGTTGCGGGCTAGGCAGCTGATCATTGACTCTTTCATCATTGATGTTTCTCTCCCTCTCCTNCTGGCCGGGCGTGGCTCAGTGGTTGAGTGTCGACCTGGGATCTAGGAGATTGGGGGTTCGGTTCCCGGTCAGGGCACATGCCCGGGTTGCGGGCTAGGCAGCTGATCATTGACTCTTTCATCATTGATGTTTCTCTCCCTCTCCTTTCCTCTCTCTGAAATCAATATACTTAGAAAACAACTGCATTATTGTACTTCCCCTTGGTTATATATTTCTTTTAAAAAAATTGTTTTCATTGTAAAAGTAACTTAATGATAAGCTTCTGTCTTAAAGGGGCATGGTATATCACAAAGTAGGGGTACGTAGAAATGAATATGGGGAAAATGTCCTAAACCATAAAAACAGGGTTGGGAGGAAGGCAGGCTGAATCCCAGGTGGCCGAGGCCAGGTTTCCGGAAGCTGTGGCTTGAGCAGGTCCCTTGACAGGGTGGAGGCCAGCAAGCTGACCTCAGCCTGCTGACTGTCAGTCGGGGTAAGGGCACTGAAACGGGACAGTGCTGGGGAAGAGACAGAAGAAGGGCCAGGAGACCAAGACCAAGCCAGTTCACCAGCCACTGAAAATGAGTCACATCAGGGAGGTGAGGGCTCTGCTGTGGTATTTTCTGTACTTCGTAAATGTTTGATTTTTCATAATTAAAACTAAAACACATTTAAAACAAGCAGTTAAACTGAAGTATGAACTAAACAAAGCAGGGAGGTGGACTAAAGACTGGCAGTTGCTTCCCTGGGGGCCCATCCACCCCCATATCCTACCAGTTCAAATACCCATCAGGAATTCTCACAGTTTGAAGGGGAAGGAAAAAGCATTTTATGGGGATGCCTCAAAACCGAAGCTCCGGTCAATACACTTTTAGACCTGTCCCAGCCCATACAGAACTTCATACAGATATTTCTTTATACTCTTTTAAGTTATGGTCACTTTTCTCCAAATGCCCTGGAGCTACTTCAGATAAAACAGGGTGTCCAATCCAAACAGGACTCCAGACTCAGGTGACTGTCAGTTCCCTGCTGCTTCTGGCAGCAGCACCTCAGTGCAGGTGCTAAAGGGCTGGGACAGTTCATGGGGACCTTCTGTGGTCCAGGCACTTGTACGTATCACCTCCTTCAGTCGCCCTTACAAGACACGCCCGTGAGGCTGGCCGAGGCTAAGGTACCTGCACAGGCCCACACACCCGGTGAGAACCCGGCAGGTCCACTGTGTGCGATGCCCTGATTCTCGGAGGGGATGCAGGAGATACACTAGATCACCTCAGCTCATACAATGTGCACACCTTTCTATGACCACTTTGAAGAGGGTGCATTTATCATTTGGTCCCTACAGTTCTCAAGTATTTTCAGGTATTTATCTCACCAGATTCCAAAGGATGCGGAAGGAAGCTGCTTCTGACATGTTAGTTTTGATTTTATTCCACAGATCTTATATAGCTATACAACATAAAAAAGCACAAAATACTGAACTCTTATTTTCTTATTTACATGATGTAAAATTTTTAACAAAAACTTCTTATGAAACGTGTTAAGTAGAGCAGAAATACTGCCCGCAATGACCTGAAATATGCTCTATTTCATGATTTTTTACTCTATAAGAAAGTCTGATTCAATTTGTCTAAATGCAGCAACTACCCAGTTCCATTCACTGTGATGAGCTATGTTTTCAAAGCCAACTTGGGGAGAGCCATGCTGGTCAGAGCTGTGGGTCTGCACCACGTGTGCCGATCCTCAGTATCTCAGGATCGGTTATCTTCAATGATAATAGTTCTCCTAGGATAGGCTTCAAGTTCGACAAATATGTATCGAAATTCGTATTCACCACTTTCTGGGTTCTGAAAAAAACAGTGTTTCGAGGTGTTTTTCTTTCCAGTGCATTCCACACAGCAGACTCAAACCCTGTCTCCCTGCCCCCTCCTCACCTCCTTCACTCCCAGGTGCACCCAGAGCACACTCACACCTGGGTTGCCCCGCCCCTCCTCACCTCCTTCACTTCCAGGTGCACTGTCCCCTGCTTCCCAGGCTCCGAGCCCTGGATGTAGAACTTCACTCGCATGTGTTTCAGCCCATCTTTTACATATTCAATANGCAGAGCACACTCAGACCTGGGTGTCCCCACCCCCAGAGCACACTCAGACCTGGGTCTCCCCGCCCCTCCTCACCTCCTTCACTTCCAGGTGCACTGTCCCCTGCTTCCCAGGCTCCGAGCCCTGGATGTAGAACTTCACTCGCATGTGTTTCAGCCCATCTTTTACATATTCAATAAAACTGTCAAGAAAAGAAAGGACACAGGCCTAAATCCCTTTACTTAAAAACAATCCCAGCCTTCCACGTGCATGCCATGCACAGTACCTCACGTGCTGCCTCCGACCACGTCTGGTCGCCTCCCCATAGCCTTTAACGGGCTCGCCAAAGACACTTATTACCTGCAGACAAAAGACAACGTTCTATTGAGTGGTTTTGTTTTTTGCTTTTTTTTTAAGTTTCCTAGGGAAATATTTTCTGACAAACTAAGTGATTTATTCTAGGGAAAAAATCAGTAAGCCTGGGACCCTTTCAAAATGACAACTTCAATAATGAAAAAAGAAAAGTTATTATGCAAAAATCACCCCATAGCTAACTAAATGTTTCCTGCAGAGACCGATCCAGGGACTTTATGGTGCTGCTTATAGCTTCTGAAGCGCACAGGTGAAGTGGAGCTGCTCCCATTCCCACAGGGACGATCCAGCACTCAGTACTCACAGGCCTAAGCATCTGCAGTGAAACTTATCTAGGGGTCTAATACTAAAAGCTATGAGATGAAACCATTTTTTAAGTCATTAAACAAAGTGAAAAAACAACAACACCCTATTAAAATATTTAATAAACATTAAATATTTAATAATGACCTATTTAAAACAAACCAGATCTATAGGTATGAATCAATTATTCCTAATGGGAAAACTCACAATGAAATGGAAATATAATTTTTATTGAATTTGAAATGTAAACACTCAGGAACCTTTAAAAAATGATATAAAACTAAAATGAATGTTGCCTCAAGACTATAAAATTTTTCCTTTTCTGTGTTGGGCATCGTCAGCATCACTTTTTCCATGCCTAAGTAAAAAGGAGTAAAGTGTAAGATGAGAGAGTTAACTGCGGAGCTGAGACAAACAGAAAACTATTCAAACAATTCACTTTAGTAGAAACACTGGTACCACAACATGAGCGTTTTCTAGTTTTCAACCAGGCACAGTGCCTGGCAAAGAACAAGACCTTATAACTGCTGACAGCACTGAATGTTGAAGTTTAATTATTATTTGTAGAGCTCTTTAGACAGCTAATTAAGTTACAACTTTTATCCTATCCCAATGCTTTATTCTGTGTATTTTGTTTTGTTCAAAAGGTGGAAGATCTAGGAAAAGCTGGGTTTGTGAATACCATCTCTTCAGAGCTGCATCCTAACATTTGATTATGCCGCTTCTCCTATTTACCTCATGTCTGTCAGTTTCCCCTTCCTCAAACGGGACAACAGCAGAGCCCGACAATGGTTTCTGTGAGATTTAATAAGGACAATGCACTGACACGCTAAGCACAGTCCTTGACTCGTAACATGCTCTCAAGGAGGAATTACTATTGTGATCAGGGGGTCACGAATCAGGTTTCATAAAAAGACTGGACACATCACATAATAACAGTCTTACAGAAAGGAATGGTGTAAAGTGAGACACTTAAGAATCGTGTAGCTGTTTCAGACTCTGGTATATTCTAAGCTTTTATTACCTATGGTAACTAGTGAAATTAGTTTTTCTTGTATAATTAGAATGAAAATAGTCTACCCGGACCTTTGGGTGCAAGTACAGAACCAAGAACTAATAACATAAACACCAACATTATGTATTATTACATAAATGTCACCCGTCTTAGACCCCGTGAGTTCTGCCCATCCCCTCTTCCTATTACCAGTTTGTGTAACCACTTTGGGGACTCACCTCGGGGTGCGACCTGCACTTTTCTAAGGCTTTCCCATATATCTTGTTAGGGCTGGACGAAGAGAAAAGCTCTCTGAAAATCACGTAGAACAGGCCACCTGAAAGCCACAGAAAAGGAAGATGAAGCAGAGCCCGGGCGAGACAAACAGCAGGTGAAGCAGCCGCTCGGGGCCCTCTACCTGCTGCGCTCTCGCACCTGTAATGCCGACGCCCACGATCACCACGATTAAGTAGGTGAAGTCTCGTCCGGCTTCTTTCACTGTCGAGAGAGAAGAGCAGCGGGTCACAGGGGTGCGGACACGCGCAGAAACCCCCGGCGTTTCCAGGGGGGTGGACGCCGGGCCGAAGGAGGGGGTCAGCCTGTCCCGGAGCAACTGCCCCCACACGTCCCGGGAACCAGGGCCGATGGAAACACGGGCAACCGCACACCTCGGAGGGGCGGCGGCCGCACGGTCCAAGGTGCGGGCCGCCCCCAGCTGCGGCGG